GTATTCTAATTTTCCCTAACACGCATCTCAAAGAACATCTGCACATACATATATTAGCCATTCCTTTATAAGGTGGTGACAATTTACTTGGTTCCTGCTTAGAGTGGTGTAGTTTGTTGAATTTGATTATCATGAGTTGGTTTTCTCTAAAACGTAGATTTCAATGAAATTTATACAGCTTTTTCAAAAAAATAAAAACTAGTGCCTGATCGAAGGGTTTTTTTAATTTAGATTTTTGATGAACAATTAAGTGTTGGTTTTCCCGAAAAACTGTAAAAAAATTTCAGAGGCCGCCCTTTTGTTAATTTATTAAAAAGCTTTCAAATGTATTAGATAATCTATTAGTAAAACTATTTTTTGTTCTCCTATTGATTTTAGATATTTATAGTTTTTAATTTAATGTTGCTGTATTATAAAATAAAATAAATAATTTGCATGCAAAAAATATTTAAAATTGTAATTTTTCATGGATCGACGATTCCGTACTCCTTAAAGTTTATTTTTATATCGACTTGAAACTCTTTATTAAAAGACTTGGAGGCCTGTTAAAATACTTACCTTGACTTTTCCATTTAAAGTAATAAGTTTATAATACAAATATTTGTGTATTAAAAATCACACAATTTTTCGCAATTTAAAATAAGTGAGTTATGGAAAACTTGCAATGTTCACTGATAGCTGAAAATTAAGTTACATAAATATTATATATGTTTGTTATACAGTACTTTTCGATATTTAATTTATTACTATTTTAATATGGAGCTTGGTGATGTTGATATTGTTGCACATTCATATTTTGTTGATTCGGTAATTGTCTTTGAAGTTGAGCGACTAAATTTGGAGTTTGTTGCTGGTTTATAGTTTGATTCTGAGATTGCACCATTCCACCTAAAATTTCAAAGATTTCGTCAAATGGTTATGAAATTGTAAAACTAATCTAGGTCTAAACCTATAAAGAATATTTGTTTCCAAACTCTCTTAGACTACTAACATTGGAATATATAAATGATTATTTCTTTAGTTCAGTTTTTTCGGTTCTACTAGCATATTTTTAACTATTACAACCCAAAACAGATGATTTTACTTTCAGTGCACGTGAATAAAAAGTATTTGGCCTAAAAATTAAAGAACGTTGTTTTTATACCCTGAACAGGATATATTAAGTTCGCCGCGAGGTTTGTAACATCCAGAAGCAAACGTCGGAGGCCCTATAAAATATATACATAAATGATCAGCATGATGAGCGGAGTTGATTTACCCACGCCCGTCTGTCTGTATATGTGCAAACTAGCCCCTCAGTTTTTAAGCTATCGATCTGAAATTTTGCACTTGTCCTTTTCTCACTAAGAAGCTGCTGATTTGTCGGAATGGCCGATTTTGGACCACTGTAGCCATACAAACTGTTTTATTTGACGAGGTATCTACACGAAATTTGGCACGGATTATTATTTAAGGAAATAATGCAATCTCCGAAGAAAATGTATAGATCGGATGACTATAGCATATAGCTGCCATATTAACTAAACGATCGGGGTAAAGTGCTTGCATTTAAAACCTTTTCATTGTACGAGGTATCTTCACAAAATTAGGCATAATTTATTGTCTAAGGCAACAATATAATCTCCGAAAAAAATTTTCAGATCAGATCACTATAGCATATAGCTGCCATACAAACTGAACGATCGGAATCTAGTGCTTGTATGGAAAACTCTTTCATTTAACGAGGTATCTTCACAAAATTTGGAATAATGCAATAATGCAAATCGGAATCAAATGCTTGTATGGAAAACTTTGACAAGGTATCTTCACGAAATTTGGCATGGATGATTATTAAAGGCAACAAAGTATTATCCGCAAAAATTGTTCAGATCAGATCATTATATCATATAGCTGCCATACAAATTGAATGATCGGAATCAAGTTCTGTGAAGGGTATTATAGCTTCGGTGCAATCGAAGTTTACGTTTTTTCTTGTTTTCTTGTTGAATGAATATAATTATGGCTTTATTCCTCGACATAAGCTACATTTGCAGTAATTACTTGACTGTAAGTCTTCGACCATTTCCATGTCGGTTCGATAGTTTGAAGCTGCGAGGTCTTTACAATTATGGTTTTTTCCATTGGCCGAGGGACAAATCTAGTGAGTTGGTGACTAGATCATGGCGAAATTCCTTCAAACTAACGGGTGTATCACGTTTATTCAAAAACCGTGGCACCGATGATCCCTAAAGCGATGATAAGTAAAATTGTCGAATTCTTTAAGATGTCAATGATATTAACTAAATCACTCAATTTAATTTCACTACAGCATTATATAATATAACCCTTTATGGTCTATTTGTGAATATCTTGGGTATCATTTAGATATATTATCTATTGAATGATATATACGGTATAAATCTAAACCCAAATTTGAAAATCCTTTTATTAGGTTTATGGAGGCTGGGGATGTATTGATCTAATTTGATCGATTTGGGAATGTTATTATCAGTTTACGACGCGAAAGGTTTGTTTGGCCATTTTTACCATTAAAAATTAAACAACGATTGTGTTTTCAATGAAATCACGTCTACGGAATCTACTTTTCACGAACACAAGTATTTCATTGTATCGAAAAGTTAAAGAACAGACCTTGAAGACACGACTATGTTATACTAAAGAGATAGCAGAGGATCTTAACAACGCTTATGGATCGACTCAACACATTGTGGTTGTTTTAGGTATGTCAATGTTAGATATGTACAAAATGGTCTGCAAAAAGCTCGTCGAGTATGTAAAGGTCGCAAAAGAGATGATTGACAAATGAGGCGTGGGTTTGTGAATATGACGTCGAAACTGTCTAACAATATGGCGAATGGCGGTTCAAAAATGAGCCGAAAGCCGAGTGAAGGCCATCCGATCTGTTTTGAGAGTTCTATAATTTTATCCGATTGCGGACGGTCACAGGGTGCCGAGCATCGATCACCCTACAAAAATTTTGTTTGTTTGTATATATACAACATATGTTATCTAAAACTCCATACACTTGTAGTGCGTATCCACAATAGAACGCACAATTTTAATACAAAAACTTCAAGTAGTTTTCTACTATGGTAAATGTAGCAGGGCCACAGTTATTTACCAGAGGCAAAATAGAGAGGAAAACCACTATAGTGAAGTTACCTCATTTTACTGGTTGTTGTCGAAATTCGAAATGTAAAAATTTAACAGAAATGGGAAGAAACAGCTTAAAAACTAC